TTCCCTTTTTCTTCTCTTTGTAGTTTCTTAATAAGAAAAGATGGAATCTCTCTCTTATGTATGCAACCCTGAATTGCCAGTTGAGGAAAAGCAGCTGCTACAAATGCTCAGGATAGTTTCCAGGGTCTGGAAGTGCATATGGTATGCTACATTGTAGACAGAAGAATGCTGCTGTTTGGTAAAGGATAGCACAGAAAAGAGCCAGCAGAGAAGTGCTGCTCTCTTTTCCTCCCTCCTTCCATCATTTTTCTATTCATCTCTCTTCTGTTTTCTTCCTCTGTTCTCGTTATAATTCTTCGTGTTACCTCTGCTTCATTCTTCACATCTTTATGCCATCTGTGGCAAAAGCATGATTAGTGCTTTCCAGTTTTTCTCATCATCTTCTTGTCCTTTCCTTGCCCTTTCTCTTTTTCGTGCAAATTGTCTCTTCTCACTCACCAATTCTCGTCAGTGCCCCCCACCAGAGTTTGCGGGGACTGATGCAGGACTAGTGTGGAAGTCTTCACAGTAACAGCTGCAGCACCTGTATTTACTGCCTGTGGAACAGATTGGCTCAGTGGTTTCTTCAGCCATTTATTCTGTAATTTTCATTTGTATTTGTTTGAACACAATATTTTTTTGCTATTATTTTGTTCTTCCTACGAGTGCTAGCACAAAGCATAGCATGAGTTTTCAGTTCTTTCAGTCTCAGTTCTAGTAATATAGCATCCCAGGTCCTGGCTTGCAAGCCTCGTCCTAACTCTAAATCACCGCCTCCTTTGTCCTTAATCCTAAATTTAATTCTAATCCATTTATCTCTGGTATCTCCAGATACCTAGCCCTAAATATAGGGTCCCTCTGGCATGGATCCTAGTTGTCAGACTAGTCATAACCCTAGAAACTGTCAGTCCTGTCCCAGTGACCCCTTCCATCTCCAGACTGTAAAATAGCCAGACAGATGGAATATATTATTTCATGCTGAGTAAGAAATTATGAATAAAAGAAGTATTTTCACAGACTCACAGAATGGTTGAGGGTGGAAGGTGCCTCTGGAGGTCACCTTGCCCAACCCTTGATCAAGCAGGGTCACTTACAGCAGGCTCTGCAGGACCATGTCCAGACAGCTTTTGAATATATCCAAGGATGAAGATATTTCAGGGAAAGAAGTTTTCATTCTGAATTATGAAGGAAAAGAATAGAAAGTAGGAAAATTAATTCAGCGCAACTCTTCTCTAGTCCCCATTGCTCTCCTTTTCTGCTTTCCAACCTTCTGCACACCTGCCTTTCTCTTTTTGCTCTGAGAAGAGATCAGATTTTTGGGTGGCAAGACTGTATTTTCAAATACGGTATCTATTGTCCTGTTTTGCTTTATTATTGTTTATATCATGCTAGTTTGCGAAGGCGCCACTGAAATTCCTTTTTGTGGTGTTAAATGCTATATAAGCACACGGGAAGATGGGCTCTGTTCCACAGAACTAGCAATCTGATTTTCTTGTCCATATCTCTCATTCTGTTGGAATAATGACACCATAAACTATTGTCTTATTCATTATTCTTTGCTTTCCCTGCCTACCGTCCCTTATCATAATTCATGGCTATATTTTCATGCTGCTTAAATTTGTTTACATTTTTAAGGGATGGTCTCAGTTAAATAAAAGGTACTTGGTGCTTGCTTTAATCTTTGCATCAGTCTGACAGAAAAAAGAAAAAATATTTTCTTCTCTGTAACTTTCTTCTTTTCTTCTCTCTAAGCCTATGTGAATGTCCCAGGACAGAGTTTCTCAAACAATAAGCTAAGGCAGAAGGCAAAAACAGAAGAGATCCTGAGAAGTCATTCAAGCATGGTAATTCAAAGTTTGGAAAGATCTTGTAAAGTATTTGCTAGATGGCTTGTATAATTGCTGTTACAGAAAGAACATTTTGTAAATACTGTATATGGCCATGAGATGGCATATGCAGCCTTGAAAGGAGCTCTGAAACTTTGCTGAAATCTGTCCCAGTGGCATTTCTGCATATTGGAAAGCTCCACAAAGGGCTTGGACTACTGGGAGTAATTCCCAGACAGGAGTTTGAATCATCTACGAGAGATGTCCTCATGTGAGAAATATTTAGATATGTCTGATCTTTTCTAGATGAGTGAGGAAAGGCACAGATACATTGGGCACAAATCCGTGTCCAGGACAGAGCATATAAGGGAAAAATACCAGTCATGCTGTGCGATTGTCATTGCAGTGGCTTAGGAATGGTCAAATTTCAATGGAATTTTAAAAAAGTATAGAAGTCTTAAAGATAATTAAGCGTTTATGATTTTTGTAGAAATGTGGCTTAACCTAAATTAGGACACCTCTCTTCCCTCTCCTCCTACCCACAAAGAAAAGAGACATTTCTCAGCTTTTCTAGGGTTCATTCAGCATCAGTCAACAGGGCAGTCAGCATGGACTGCTGACAAGTTTGTCAGCATATATATAGCTTGAGACTAGTCACTGCACATATTACCTTTTGCCTGGCCTTGGTGTCATAGGGAGCCTGGGGAAGCTGGGTTTACTGCAGTATGGAAGAAAGAGGTTGGAAGACACAAGTCCAAAGGATACCTGGCCTCACAGGTTCCACTGTTTATGAAATTACTTGTATTTCTGATTTCACTGGCTTCGAATATTAGCCAGCTACAAATGTTAGATTTCACAGTGTAATCTTTTTTGCCGAAGTATATTTGTTTCTTAAAAAACATAAAAACAGAATCATAATATATACAAAAATACATATTTTATTAATATGTATTACACAGAATCATAGAATCATAGAATCATTAAGGTTGGAAAAGACCCTTAAGATCATCGAGTCCAACCGTCAACCCAACACCACCATGCCCACTAAACCATGTCCCTAAGCGCCTCATCTAC